ATCCTACTCTTCTGGACAAGCGTAATTTTGTAAATCTACCTTTATAGTGCTATATCACAATGTAATGTGTTCCAATGTAAGTTCATTAGTGAAACACTTTTAATATAATAATAATTAATATATTAATTATGATCATTAGCAATTAATAACAAACTTGAACATTATCAATAATTATCTAATATCAGCATTAATTAATGATGCCACAGTTACTGGTCCTCCTGAAGTGGATAGGGTACATCCTCTATAGGTCACTGTACACTGGGGACTGGTTGATAGCTCAGGCTGGTAGGAGGGAGGGAGGGAGGGAGAGGGAGGGAGAGAGGGAGGGAGAGAGAGAGGGAGAGAGAGAGAGGGAGGGAGGGAGAGGGACGGAGAGAGGAGGGAGGGAGAGAGAGAGGGAGAGAGAGAGGGAGAGAGAGAGGGAGGGACGGAGAGGGAGGGAGGGGTAAAGGAGGGAGAGGGAGGGAAGATAAAACAATTTTAATGCAACGAAAATGCAAAACTTTACAAAGAAAAAATTTCAGAGCCATAAAATCTATTTTTGTGAACTTAACAAATTAACTGGACAATATATAAATACCATCCTTATTATTATTATCATTACTGTTGCTATTGCCGTCGTTTGACAATAATCTAACTGATAGTCGTATCTTAAATTCTCACAGTTGATACAATACATTACAGTATACCGATACATACATGTACATGTACAGACTCACCTGTATCTGTTCAAATATTTTCTTTTTCGGATTCAACTGATCATCAGGTTCTGAAATAAAGTATATAATAATCCACCCACACAATTAATTACAAACCACACCCACTCAATTAATTACCTTCCTCTTCATATCCTTCAACGATGATACGTTCCCCAGGGACACACCCACTGGGCGGGGTCAATAACTCCACCTTATCACTAGAGGAAGAGAGAGATACAGTGCTACAGTACAGTATCCATTATCTACAGTACATCAGTATAATAGTGGATAAGGAGGAAGGCACAGTACAGTACATTAGTATATGACTATATGTAGTTTTGATCAGTTAGTGGATAAGGAGGAATGTACATGTACATGTTCTTACTTCAGTGAAGCTGCTAGTAACATTGCCTGTGATTCAATACCTGCAGTAATAATGAATACAATTGATAAAGGAAACATCATTATATTAATAATTATTGTACTGATTAATTCCATTTAAAAACTACTATTAAATTGATTCATTATCACTGTTAGATCTAGAGGGAGTTTAGGAGACTTTTGGTTTCTCATATTTAGCCCCAGGGGTCCTTAAATCTCCAATTTTTAGTTAAAATGACCTCCCAAATAAAGTTAATTCTAGATCCAACAATGTCCGTTACGATCACATGCAGTACCTCTCATTTTGCTTGGCTTTATATTACAAAGCATCACAACTTTCTTCCCCAGCAGTTCCTCTTCTTTAAAGTATTTCACTAGTCCACTCACAACAGTACGGGGCT